ATAATATTAAAACGGTACCTCAACGCTTTTAAAATATCTTTTCGATACATTGAAGTTGATTTTTAAACATATAATGTCCAAACTACCATTTTTATTAATTAGATGGAAATTGTTATTTTCTAAAAAAATCTGAAAATATATATTTTAAAACACTAAAATATTTAAAAGAAAACAACAAAATAAAAAAGTGCATGATTTTTTTTTTGATTTATTAGTTTTTAGTTAATTAAATAAAAGGACATTAAGATCATTTTACGTCTTAAAAATCACTTTAGGATATTCAAAAGGTGTTTTTAAAAACATTCAAGTACCATTTTAATATTAGTAAAAACAATGGGTATTAAGAGCATATTTCTATGTGACACGAGATACTAAAATGATTTTATCCCGAGAAAAAATGATAGTAATGATAATAAAAACTTCCTCACGGTATTTATTTTGGCACAAGTAATTAATAACAATGTAAATAGAATATATGTTAGAATCGATTGCAACTAATTACCTGGTGTTCTGAGAATCCCAACCTGAAAGATCGGCGGACTCCATTAAAGCACCTCTCCACTTCTGCACTTTGTCCATGTCATCTTTAAAACGTTCTTCATGTTTTAGAAATGCCTCTCTATAACTTCCTCTTCATTCTTCTTTTGAGAAAACTATAATTGAAATCTTTGAGATCCGGATAGCTTCAAGAAGTGTTGATGAGATTTTGTCTCCTCTCTTAAGACTTTTCTCGTCTATGTAGGTCTTGATTTTCTTTCGCTCCAAAGCAGCGTAAAGATGGATTGTGAAAGTATTACGCGTATCTTCACCTCTAAAACTCAGAAAAACATCATATTTCTCCGAAGTAAAGAGGGAAGAAGCAGAAGAAAAAGCTCCACCAGCATCCATGTCGATATCAGACGCGAGTCACTCCTAGGATCAAAACTATGAAAAAAATTCTCTTTCTCAGCTTTTGTATTTCATACAAAATGGAGGCGCTCTAGTTTTGACGTTTTTAAGAAGGCAGAGATTCATAAAAAGCAAGACCTGTCATATGTTGAGAAATTTCTTCTTGCCTTCCATCTGTTGGGAACACTAGTGAGTCAACATTTGCATGTTAGTGGTAAAATATTTCCACTAACGCGTTTGTTTACGAAAGGAACATACCGCGTGAATATTATGTGCTGAATTTCCTGACAAATTTCATGGAATTTGAAGATGAAAGGAGGCAGGAATAATTGCCTCCACGTGAAGGAGCCCACCACTTGACGTTACATTGTTCTATTATTTCAAAGATCAAAAGTGAAAGATGAGATAAATGTGGGAAAATTTATGGAAGGACACGTGTTATATACACTAGCAACAGTTCTTTTTTTATACAGCGTGAGATGATCAAACTTTAAGGTTATAAAAAAAATAAAAAGTAAAAAACTCCGGGTGTGGAATCATCTTACGAACTCTCACGTTTTCTCAAATTTAAACGAATTGTTCGAAATTATAAAAGTGATTGAAGCAAACTTGAGAGAGAGTGATCTGTGGAGGGAGTCTGAACTCCCAAATCACAACGAAGATATATTATTATTGTGTGCCAATGCTAATTTGAAAAACGATAATGAAAGTAACAAGCGACATCGGAAAAACAACAACAGCAACATTACAAGATAACAGGATGACAAAACCCACCAAAAGGAAAGAAGAAAAGAAAACATTATAAACGAGCGCATAAAGAACGATAACGATATTGGAAACTTAAAAACGATAATTGCAAACGAAAACGTTATAAAAATTCATAAAAACAACAACAAAGAAAATACGACATAAAAGGTTTGGTTGTTAATAAACAAAACTGACAGTCATTTATAAAGGACCGCCACATGTCAATGACACATGCATCGAACGACAAATATGAATGGGCAACTCTTCATATGTTGCTCAATAGAAATAAGAAATCTCAATTTTTCATACTTTTTTAATTGTCTAATTGTTTTAAAATGAGTCTATTAGCCTTTCAAGAAATATGTACTTATCATATTTTTTATCCCACTGTAATTATCAGAAGATAATTACCTTAACATTTCTAAAATATATAGTTTTGAGGTTGATCTGAGGTTGATCTAAAACAATAGTGAAAGAGATTGTCAACCCACCTAGTGTACTTGTGGCTTTCCCCTGGTTGATTTTTAGATTTAAATAACACCTTAAATCCAACATATCCACCACAGCACAAATCACAAAACCCAAGAAGTTGTTATCCCGAAACATGATCTCAATCCGACATCCCTTCAATTGAAGATCGAACCACTTTGGAATTGCATTTCCAAGACAACACGTACGAATTTTAGGATTCTTTCCCT